GTATCAGTGTATAAATAGTAAAAGAGTTTGTTTTTCTTACGGGGAAGCATGACTAGGCTAATACTGAGAGGGGGACAGAAAAAAAACTGTCAAAAGTCCTGGTAAAAGTAATGGAACTTTATAAAAGAGGGAAAAAGGCAAAAAAAAATGTCCAAAAGCCTTGAATATCCCCAACAGCTGATAATCCCTATGAAGAAGGGGAAAAGTTCGGGGATCTCTTGTACCGCCAAGGTCAGGAGACCAAAAAAGATTGCACCCCAAAACTGCAGAAATTGCCCGGATTCAAAGAAAACCAGGGGAAAACCTCAAAAAAAAATCCAGGCTGCTCGGGGAAAAAATATGGTGGGGTTTTTTTTAAGGATACAATCTGTGATACTTGAACAAAAATAGCTGTTTGGTCGAGGTGCCAGAAAGAAGCTTTTACTGCACAATGCCACAAAAAAAGCCCGGGCTACAATATGCCTGACAACACCCCTGACATACGTAACCGGGCTTTTTGTGCTTTGATGCAGTAAAGGTTCTTTCTGGCCCCTCCCCCATGCAGCTCATTTTGTTCAATGGCAATATTGTCCCCTTAAAAAACCACATGTTTTTTCCAGGCACCTGTATTTTTCTTGTGGTTACCTAGGGGGTTTCCCCTTGACCCGGGACAAATCTTCTGTCGTTGTGGCTGAAATTTTCTTGGGTCTCCCTGCCCTTTTGCATCAAGGATTCCCAAATTTCCATTTTAATAGGTGATTTAAACAGTAGTTTGGGTATATTCATTAAAGATTTTGAACATCGTTTATTCCTTTTTCCATTTTTAAAAAAGTTCCATTTCCTGTTATGCAGGACTTTGGCAGTTCCTTTTGATCCCCAGGGTCATATTCCCTAGTCAGTGCTTCCATAAAAGAGCTAACAGTCTTGCTATTTATCACGACACTAATTGAAAATTTAAAAAAGCCACAGATGTGGGACTTTAACCTCTAATTTGGCATTTTAACCGGGTTGTGTGTCACCTTTGGTGTGTCTGCTACCAAAAGCCAAAATATTCCACTGGGAGGGCGAAACTTTTAATCCGGGCCATTTGCTAGCTGATTTCTGGTTATCCGAGATTTTGACCCCCTCTAAACTTTTACCTATAAGGATGAAAACGAGAGCCAAACAACTATTAGATAAATAAATGGCTTCATATATCAGCATCCTTCAATAAAATAGCATTTTTTTGGCAGGATCAGTCATATTGATGCAATATCAAATTGTCACATTTTCAGGCCAGGGTAATGCTAACGTTTGGTGCACATCTGTGCCTAATCTTTCTTCTCTTTGCATTGCCAGCCTAGATTAAGAACTGCGTTACAGTGCGGGTGCAGCGTGGCTGTACCAACGATTTCTGGCTCTTGACTGTGACATAAGATGCTACGTGAATTTGTGGTATCGATTTAAAATATGCCTCGAATCTTTTTCGTTCTGATGTAATGTCCAAGTTTGTGATGCTTGCTTAATGGCCAATAGTTAGAATGTTTTTTTATTCTCTAGAATAAAAAACGGATTAGCTCTAAGACATTGCTTGGCCTTGGGGCCCATTCCAATTTTTTTGTTTTATGTTTTTGCCCTACATGTGTGTGTTTAACTGCGTCATCTCTGCGCTCTGTGGTTTCAAGTTGATTATGATGTTGTGGTTTGTACACATTACATTGTGCTACTGAATAGAAGAGCCCAACAACCTATGCGCTGAGACTTTCTTGTGTCCCTGTTTGCAATTTAATTGATGTTAATTGCTTTCTTCTTTGTAAAGTACATATACTTTGTATAGTCATTTGGGACTGTATTGCCTCTACTGCGAGTTCCAACCAGCATCAATTATTGCTTGCTTACCACAACAAAATAATCAATGTTTATTTGGTTGTGCAAACCTCTGACCTTACTTCGAATGTTGTCTTTGTTTTTAGAAAGAAGATGTTTCTTACGTAACAGCAATGGGACACCTCCCCAACTAAATAGGAAGTGCACTCCCCAGTGATTATACCTCATATCAAACCAACATACAGCCTGTTATTTTTTATAACAAGTAACATATTATGTTATAATCAGTGTCAGTCACAATGGAAGTCTTTTATAATCTTGCGTCACCACACCACTCATGTTCAAAAATACATCTGTGCATTCCAACCCACCACCGATGGAAGCAATTATGTGTATTGATATGAATCCCTACATTTATGAAGGTCAAAGAAACACTTGGTAAATTCCATGTAAAGTGACCCAGGATGTCAGAATTTTCCTTCGAATGGAAAGTAGGAACTCATCTGCCATCCTATGGATGCAGTGGATCGCGGAGCTCAATACCAGCTCTGCTTTGACCGGGGAATCATGTGACTAGTTATTGACCAATCACAGCAATCACATGATTAAATACCTAAGACTGTCTAGTTTCCTAAAAAGGGTCATGTGGGGGGGGAGGTATCTGTCCTGTCCTGACATTTGAGGGTATCTGTCCTGTCCTGACATTTTGAGAGGTATTTGTACCGTCCTGACATTTGGAGGCATTGTACTGTCCTGCCATTTGGGTGGGGATTTTGTACTGTCCTAGCAGGTTTAGAGGGAGTAGTGTACTGTCCTATCAATTTGGGGGGATTTGTACTGTCCTGACGCATTTGGGGGCGATTTGTACTGTCCTGACATTTAGGGGGTATTTCTACTGTCCTGACATTTGGGGGGGGATTTAGTACTGTCCTGTCATTTTGGGGTATTGGTACTGTCCTGACATTTGGGGGGGGATTTGTACTGTCCTGACATTTGGGGGTATTTGGTAAGCAGTCCTGAACATTTTAGGGCCTCAAGATTTGAAACTCATCCGACTTCAGTAAAGCAGGATAGATCAAATTTTCAAATATACTGTATATCTAATATTTTTGTAGACTCTAGAACTTTGGTACAGACTAAATAATAAACACCTGATTTGGGTATCGTTACCAAAGAGCTGTAACAGAATATATTTTTGGTTTTTAAATTTAAGAGGAAAGATGTTTGCTTGCAATTTATAACATAAATTAGAATAATGGATTTTTTGTTTTCAAAATTTTGAGTATTGTTTTGTTTATATAGCAGAAAATAAAAAAACCCCAGTGGTGATTAAATACCACCAAAAGAAAAGCTCATAAAAGATGGCTGATACCCACAGTGCCCATTATCTGAGAGGATGTCTCCAGTCTATCCCAAATGTTAGCCATCAATGTTTTTTATCCTCCTAATTTCCATAACCGTATCCAGTAGGTCTTCTGAGACAGGACAACATTTTTCCTCCAGTGGAGAGGGATTGATCTCGTACCTGCTGTTAGGATATGGTGGTCAATTTTTTAGAGGTTTTGGGTAATATCTGTGAAAAGGAAGCCAAGAAGGTTGAGGACACGGTCCAAATGAAGTAACCCTACCTAGACTTGACACAGTAAATCTTCTACCTTCTCTCAGCTGAATCACGGGGCACAGCCCAGAATATATGAAAGAAAACGCCAACTGACTGTCTGCATCTGCACCACATCTTGGATTCAGAGGGGTTATAGGAGTGTAGAACCTCAGGTTGAAGCATACTGGAGGCAGTGGCATCCCTAGGGGTGTGGGCCTCACCGGGTGACACCATCACAGGGGGTGCAGGATGCCAGCAGTGTCAGCTGCCCCCTGGTGTAGCAGTAAAATTAGAATCCCGTGAAGATATGTATCCCCTGAAGCAACTGCGCATGTGCTGGTTTCAGCCCGAAGAAGCTGGTCACCGATCTCTGACTTTAGCACAGAGCTGCCACAGTTAACCCCTTACAGGCTGCAAAGCGCTGAAGCTGTTCAACCTATGCGGGGTTAACTGATCTTGCAACCCATAGGGATCAGCTTTAGCGGTTTGCAGCCTGTAAGGGGTTAACTGTGGCAGCTCTGTGCTAAAGTCGGAGAGAAAGGCTGCTTCGGCCTGAAACCAGCACATGTGCAGTTGCTTCAGGGGATACATGTCTTCATGGATACTCATTTTACTGCTACACCGGCACCGCACCGGGTGACACCAACCCTAGGATGCCTCTGACTGGAGGGTTACCATTACTGATTCCATTGTCAAAGCACCTTGCTGGATCCCGGTTTAACCACTTGACCTTTGGAAGGTTTTACCTCTGTCATGTCCAGGGCATTTCTTGCTATTCGCCACTACGCTATTCTAACTGGTAATTTCACAGTCATGCAACGCTGTAACCAAATTAAATTTTTATAATTTTTTCACACATATAGCAATTTCTTTTGGTGGTATTTGATCCCTACTGGGTTTTTTATTTTTTGCGATACAAAAAATACCAAAATTGGGAAGGGGTTAACATCTAGGGTCGATCAAGGGAATAAATATGTGCCCAACAATGTGTAATGTGTGTATTATGTGCTGCTTTTACTAACAGATCTCTTTGTTTCTCATCCCTGCGTTGCAGAAATAAGAAACACAGATCTTTCCTTGTGTACAGATTGTTCATCAACACAGAGCTCTGGGCTGTGATTGGACACAGCTGATCAGCAGGTCCCAGTCCTGAATCGTGTTGTGGAACCAGTCGGACTTGCTAACAGACTCCCGCTGTGTACAATTACAGCAGGTGTTGGTGGGGGGGCGCGCGCATGCGTATCCCCTAAACCAAAAGCAGCAATGACAGACCAGTATGTCGCTTTGCCTGCTCGGTCAGCCTGTCCACAGTACATTGCGGGCGGGTGGTCCATAAGTGGTTTTGGTGCCGTTGCAGTGTTATTCTGGATTACGTTAGCAGTTTAGTTTCCTCTGTCACAAGTGATCCTGTACAATTGTCATCACTCTTTTTTGTTCAAAATTTTAGGTGATTTTCAGGTTCGGGGGCTGAGAGTTACTGGGAAAGATGTTCCTACTGAAGCCCTTAGAGGAGAAAGATGTCACCATCCCTTGTCTACTGTCTGGTGTCCCAATACCGCTGAATCTAGAGAAACTATCAGTTGTCTGGACTCTCAGGTTAAAAAAATGGAACTGAATGTGAGGTTTATGGTTTTAGTAGTTACAAAACAACACCATCGAGGATCGGATCTCACATGAACGACAAAGACCTCAACAAGGCAATGCCAGTCTTTTTTATATCCAACATTCAGATCACAGATGAAGGGAACTATCGCTGCTTTGTTATTTTCACTCCAGATTCTGGCTCCACTACATCTACTCTGCAAGTATCAGGTACACAGTGAGATCCGCAAGGAAAGAGGAAATTAAGGTGCAAGACAGCGCCGATAATGCATTTATTGATAATGAAAGGAATAAAAAATAATTATACTCACACATGGGGGATGACTTACATTAAGGTGCACTAGACAGCGCCGATAATGCATTTATTGATAATGAAAGGAATAAAAATAATTATACTCACACATGGGGGATGACTTACTAAAGGCAAATAGGCTGTGCACCATACAAGGTGCAGTTGCACACTACAAGTGCAGTTACTCCAGAGCTTTGTAAATGAGATAAAGATTCACTTTGCAAATACCCAATCATGTGCAAGGAAAATTGAAAAAAATGCATGTTTGCTTGCACATGATTGGACGATGGAAGTCAGCAGAGCTTTTGCTCATTTATTAAGCTCGGAGCAAACTGCTCTTGCAAAGTGCACAGTCTATTTGCCTTTAGTAAATCAACCCAATAGTGCATGGGTCATTCACAGAGAGCTGTCTTCACCAGGTATAAAATTGTAAAAAAAATCTGAACTCCTCACTACTTGACTATTGCACCAGAGATAGGCTTGTCCACTTCCCCATTACCACCATTACCATTCCGCACCAACCCCCTTCCCCTTAACCAATTATACTTACAAAAGACATGACACCAATTTTGGAGTAAATGGCCAACATGGCCTTTTATTAACAACTCAATTTACAATACACCAACCATTCCTTATAACAGAAACCCCAAAGAATTGTTGTTGGTCTTCGAAGGCACCCCCAAACGATCCGAAATGCACCTGCGGACAACCATATACACTAGGCCTCCAGCCGCAACCAACCAGCTCGGAGACAACCATACCATCCGCAGTGCAGCAGCACCACCTTCCAGTTAAACCTTGGTTAACTGGGAATGTCCCCCGGGCATCCCATACCACCGATGGGTCCCACACCATTGTTGTTTACCTTCCAAGATAAGAACCGCCTCCAAAGACCAACAACCGCCACAGCACGCTGGGTAAGCCCTTACCCATGCGTGCCACGCCACAAACGAACAGCCCGCTGTATGCCATCCTGCAGATCCAGGGACCATAAATCCGTCCCAACCGCGTTCAAATGGACCCCATCGCACCTGAGATACCGCCAAGTATCCAACTCCAAGTGCCGGACCACCAACCCCTATGGTGACTAAAGAAACGCCCCCTCTCTGTTAACCTTGATCCGAACCTTGTTGAGCCTCTCCGCCGACCGCGCCCAACTCCAAGAGGTGCGGGCGACAATGTCGGACCACACACCACCATCCCCGGATAAGCCCGCCGCAACTGAAGAAAAGTCCAGCTCGACATCTCGCACCAGCTCCCGCAATGGACCTAACCCCCAAATCATTGCCACCAGCATGAAGCAGAAGAACATCCGGTGGTCTATCAAGCGAGCAAAGCGCTGCACCTCGGGCACTACACGACCCCACAACATGCCCGGCACACCTATCCAGCGGACACAGGCCTCCGGTCTAGCTAACCCAGCTGCCTGCCATTGGGCCTCACACCAGCCCGCCTGACCCAGACCCAGGATCCATAACAGGCACAACGCTCCATCTGAATGAAAGAAAAAGCAATACAACCAGAACAATAGATCATAGAGACAAGACCGAAACTACCCCCCATCGCCCAGGGACAAACAGACACCGGCCTCCCACTAGTCCCACAACAGATGCGGACGAACGTACATGCGAAATCTCTGGGAATCCCACCTACCAATGCGTTTCACCACATCATCCGACAACCCCACCGGGCAGCCTCCGTAGCAGCCCCTATCCGAAACAAATGCGAAGCATACAAAGACGCATCCAAACCTGCAGCTGTCAAACACCGTCGAAAAACTGACACAAATTGAAACGCGTAAAGGAGACCCATCAGCGTGCCTGAAAAAAACCCCTGCCCCACTGGACGACGGGACAAAAACTCCCGAACCGCCCGCACGGGCACACCAGCGAAGCCGGAAGAGCGAAAAAAAAACGCACCCGAGAACCACATTCCAATTGGTCCGTCTTAGACCGACGGACCAGCACCTCCACCCATTCACCGGAGCACCTGACCTCATCCACCAATAACCCCCCAAGAACCGATTTGGACGGACTAACGAGCTCCCCAATAAGCAACGCCCCAAAAAAGGCCACCGCAAAAAGCCGCCCAAAATAAGTACACCTCAATGTCCGAAGAGCACACAGTCCACAGATGCACAAACAAAGACCTCAACAACTCAAAGGACACCGGACAACGAGAATCCTTACATCGATGAGCCCTCCGGTAACCCTGGAGAGCCTGCCGAACGTAAAAATCTTTTGTGAAATCCCGACACCCTTGCAACTTAAAGAAGAATGTCAAACCCGCCAGTCGGCGATCCACCGCAGCAGCCGACACTCCCCGCTCAAAATTCCACGCCACAAAGTACAATACCGCCAAAACCACCTCCGGCCCCCAGGGATCAATCTCTACCCGCTGTAGCAGATCCAGCCACTCCCGCCAGACCGTAGAGTATGCGGACCAAGTCGCCTCACTCACCGAACGCCGGATCCAGCCCGCAACGACTCCAAGGCAATCTCCCACAGCCAGTCGGGACAAGGAACCCCGTGTTGCTCCGCCGCCGGCGCCAACTCTCGGAATTTGTCCCACTGAAAACGAGACGAAGCGTCAGCCAAGGTGTTATCAGGGAATGCACCGCATGGAGAAAAACATTCAGCTGCAGGCAACGCAACACTAAATGGCGAAGCAAGCCCACCACCGGCCGTGAGGAAGCTGAGACCCGATTGATGACCTGAACCACCCCAAATTGTCACAGTGAAAATGCACCTTTTGATTTCGAAAATTCTCTCCCCAAACCTCAACCGCTAACACCACTGGAAAAAGTTCCAACAACACCAAGTTGCGAAGAAAACCCGCCTCCCGCCAGGAAGCAGGCCACGAGGCCGCACTCCACCGACCCTGGAAAAAAGCCCCATAGTTCGCCGCCGCCGCATCCGTGAACAATTCCAAGTCAAAATTGCTAACAGGGCCAGACATCCAGAGAGCCCGTCCATTAAACGAACCCAAAAAGGTGTGCCATAGATGCAAGTCCTCCCGATGATCCCGAGTCAACCGAATAAAATGTAAAGGGGAGGTAATCCCTGCCGTCGCCGCCGCCAACCGACGGCAGAACACCCGACCCTTGGGCAGAATCCGACAAGCGCAGTTAAGTTTGCCCAACGACTGCAAGGCCTGCAGCTGAATTTTTCGCTTGCCCAGCACCCCACGGATTTCCCCTTGTAGGGCCAACAGTTTAACCTCAGGCAGGCGGCACTCCATCGCACCGGAATCCAAAACGATGCCCAAGAAAGTCATCACCGTAGCCGGGCCCTCAGTCTTATCCACCGCCAGAGGAATCCCGAAACGTTCAGCAACGTGTTGCAAAGTGGCCAGCAAAACTGCACATACTCCGGAATCTGGCGGACCCGTGCAAAGAAAATCATCCAAATAGTGGATGACCGAATTCACCCCAGAGACATCCCGCACCACCCACTCCACGAACGAAACTGAACTTCTCGAACAAAGCGCAAGATATAGAACACCCCATAGGAAGGCACTTAACATAAAAAGAGCCCTGCCAATGACAACCCAAAAAACGAAAACTGTCCGGATGGACTGGCAACAGCCGAAACGCCGACTCAATGTCCGATTTCGCCATGAGCGCACCGCACCCATACCGACGAACTCAGAAAACTGCCGTATCAAACGACGTATAAGACACCGAACACGACTCCAGATCAATAGCATCATTCACCGACCCCCCTTCGGGAAGGACAGGTGGGGAATTAACCTAAACGCATTCGGCTCCTTCTTGGGCACAACTCCCAATGGAGAAACAACCAAATCCGAAAACGGAGCGCAAGCGTCCCAACCCCACTTCCTTACGCAACTTAGCCGAAACCACCTCCTCATGCCGCAAGGCCGACCGTAAATTCCGAGCTAAGGGAGGAATCAAAGTCAAAGCACATGGGATGCGAAAACCCTCCGAAATCCCCGCCGCCAGCAGTACTGCAGCTGCCCGATCAGGATACCTTTTTAAGAAAGGCCCTATCCTTTCCCCCCCACTGGAGTCGTCCCTCTTACCCGCATGCTCTCAGGGAAGGTCTCGACCCCGCTGGGAAACAGCGCGACAAGGGATGGGAGCCACCGAGCACCCGGAACATTTGTGCCTAAAACGGCAGGACCCTCCAAATCGACACATCCCCTCTTGGAACTGCCAGCAGAACCCCTTACGTCTGGAGGCCGATTTGTCCCGGGGAGAACGAACCGCCGCCCGCTCTGAAAAAACGAACCAGGGGCCCTTACCGGCGTCATGAGTCGCATCCAGAGGCCAATGTCCTTATGATCCCAACGCAACGACGGACGAACCGCCCTCCGCTGCCTAAACTGCTCATCGTACCGAAGCACGCAGTACCCCCATAAACACCTGTGAGCCTCACCAATGGCGTCAAGGTAACAGAACAGTTGCCGAGCAATGTTCAGGAGCCTTCTCCCCAATCACACTGGCCATGATTGCGAACGCCTGCAACCAATTTGCAAAGGTACGTGGGATAATACGAAAACGCCGTTTTCTCTCTTCCCCCGCCTACTCTCATCAACCCGGGACCCATCAAAAGGAAAACGCTCCAAAGGCAAGAGCGAGAATATATCAAACGTACTCCCCACTCCAAATCTTCTCCCGTACATCAGACTGTAAGTGCGCAACCAAAGGGCCCTCAAAACACACGTACACTTCGTACCTGGCCTAGTCCGCCAAGCCGACAGGGCCCGGACACCCTCGAATCCTCACCCAAACCGCGGAGGGGGCCGCAGAACCCCGATCACCTGTCTCAGCCGGAATAACCCCTAGCCCAGACCCAGGAGGAGAAGAGACCCCCGGACACCGCACGGCCCCCGCTGTCCTGTACAAGAACCCTGAAACCTCCCCCACCATCCGGCGGGAGCCACGCAGAAGCAG